AGGCATTTGTTTGTTGTCCTACTTCCGATTATTATGCTATATTTATTAGTTGTTATACCTTCTTTGGAACCTTCGAAACCAATTTATAGAATACTCTTTATATTTTCATATTTTATTAATAGACTCACCCCCTACTCTGGCCCGCGACTGTGATGAATTGATTATGGACGTGGTCCGTGACTACCTAGAAAGATTCAATTCAAAATAACCGACGTTAAAATCTCACTAACCGCTGTTGACACCCTCCCCTATCCGCTGGGATGGGGCACCATCTTTTTTATATTAGCAGGTTCCTCTCACAATTTATATTTTATATCATTAACAAGACAGGTATTATAATTAGTATACACCTAAATAAGATGTTTTTATTTAGTATTATACTGTATGTTCTATATTTCTATTGATAGGTATTGCTATTTGTTATCTTCATTGCGGTGGCTACAAGCCCTTCCTATGGCCGTTTTGGATACCGGTGTCGTCACAAATGTCCAAAATATTGGGTTACATTTAGAGGTAGTTGCTATCGAGTGTTTTCATCCCAAAAGTCCTGGCACGCGGCACAAGCTCACTGCTCCCGCCAAGCGTCAGGAAGAAGACGAAGTCACCTCGTCTCCATCGGAAGTTATGCTGAAAACAATTTTGTCTCCACACTTTGGAGAACTTCTAATGGTTTGGTGAAAAAAAACCTCGCATACTGGATTGGTTTGAAGCGGTCGGGTAAGCCTAATACTTGGCGTTGGGCGAACAATGCACGTTTGCGGTACAGAAAATGGGGACCCGGTCAACCCAATAACTATAGAGGAAATCAATATTGCGTCAACCAGTGGTATAAAAACAACAATTACCTGACCTGGAATGACCTCGCTTGCTCGGTTAAGTTATCATTCGTATGCGAGATATCTTAGAATATCCCCAAAAATGATTTGATGATATGATATGTTTACAACACCTTATTAAGCACAATGAGATTGTAATTTTGTCTTTTATTTTAATTTAATTAAATATTTATTTATTCTTTAATCACACAAGAGGTTGGGATTCAGTTAATTAAATTTTTGCTATGGTGTTATCAAAAAATGCATACAATTCTTAACACTTTGCCTCTAGAAACCTTGGACGAACATTTCTGAGTAGCAACTATAACATTACTTTGAGCTGCATTGAGTGACCACTTTGGTCAGATTATGATGGCCACTATGAGTAAAGATCACTATGTAACTTGTAATTTCAACTTAATTAATCCATTTGTTTCCTCTAAAGTCAATATTTCCACTAACCACTTTTATGGTTGAGAACCTGAAGTTTTTGAGTTTCAATAAATACGCACCTAATACGCACAACTGAAATTTGTTCATGTCTTGTTATTAATAAACTGTTTTAAAACCGATTCAAAAGTCGGAGTAAGGGGAAAGAAGGAAAATGCAGTGGCGTTATAACAAATGACGTAACTACGGCAAGTTCAGGTCGTTCGTTAAACCAGAGACTCAAATCTCAAGGGGCCTTATAAATTTGGATTGAGGGGCGGAGCTCAGGCATTATTGATAGAAGAAAATTTATAATCATGGCTCCTCCAAATTAAATTGCACTCGCATACAATTTTAATATCTTTTTTTAATCACCTTTTCCCATTTTTAACTTTTTTAAGTGTGGTGGGGGGGGGGTGAAGGGGACGAGGCGACTGGGCCTCGAAATAGAGGAGAAAAGGAAGGACTTTCACAGATTGAGGGTCTGTAACAACTATGCCCCACCATGATTGATGCTGAGGTGAGAACATTATGATTATGGAACCTCTACACTTTTTTTTAAAAATAATCTTGACAAATTGAGATGGTGGGGCGTGGGGGGGGGGGGGGTGGAGACCAAAAACTGAGACAGTGCAGCACAGTCTAAAAGCACAGATATACAGATATTAGGGAAAATATCATCGCGCTTGCTGTATCAAGATGAACCTGACCAATATAAATTATCAACAAATTTCGTTTGTCAGCCAAACTGTCTTTTCTCTAATGTAATGCAATACAAGTATAATACAGAAAATCCGGCTCACCACAAGGCAAGTGAAAAATGGACTGAATCAATAAAAACATCAAGATTTGGAAATCATCCTAATGTACGACAATGTTCCACTGATGATACAATTTAGAATCGGAAAGAGCATAAGGCTTAATGGCTAAAATGATTAAATTAGAGCTGATTTTCACACGGTTCCTGAAACTATTTACAGAGTTTCTATGATACTGTTTAAAGGACGGTACACCATAGGATGCAAACATATCCAGTGCCTTAAAGTAGGGCATTATTATAGCAGACTTTTAACGATCTTATAGTACCTTCGTTACATCTACACCAAAGAGTAGAACAATACATACTAACACAGTAGCATTTTAAACAACTAACATGAGGGAGTTAGCTCTTATACATGTCGAACGGTATTGACGTGGACGAAAAATGACAGGGTCCAACCAGAGGCAGAGCCCTACTGTGGTCAGACATTTTTTATTATTAATGATAGTTGTTTATTCTTAATCAATTCCGTAAATGCAATACGGTAAATATAATTTTAAAAAAAATCAGAACCCAACATAATGGTTAGTTTATCAGATTCATCACTGTTCGCTTTCAAAGGAAACCCTCTTTTCCTCTTCATTCCTCCTAACTCTTCTACCACACTCTCCTCACAAACAGTAAACTTCTTAGAACTGGAAAACATTGGTTATTGACATTAGTCTTTAATGTTCCCTGCCATATCATTCTGATTTTTAGGTTTTTTATGGTAATTATTATATGTTAATAATAGGATTGTCAACAAATTAAATAACATTTGACCGTTGTTTTTATATTAGACAAATGAATGATAAAATAATTTTTTTTACTGATTTGTCGAAATAGTAAATTTTCAACCCTTCTATTTTCGGGTTGTTTAGGCCTCTAGTTTGTGGCACATACGAATCACGTAACCAACATGTTCATGATACTTGTGTACCATAATTTAAGAATCAACCAAAAACGGCTAGGTGAAAAATTTTAGATAAAAAAAAACGTAGTTTTTGGTGAAATTGCACGATTTTTTAACTATCTAATTTTCCGGTTATGTATTTTGTGTCACAATTACGGATCACGTAATCGGTGTTTTAATGATCCTTGGGTACCACATGTAGGAATCATGGTTTTTGTCGAAATTTTACGATTTTCCGACCCTCCCATTTTCCGGTTGCTATGTGTTCTGTTGGCCTAGGCCTACCCTGCATTGCAATAACCTCTCCAAGATGGAACTCGGCACCACTACCATGCACACTGTTTCTCATAAAGATTGTTTTCCACTAGACGAATTTATTCGCGCGAATCGAAATCATCGGTTCATGCGCATGCGCATTTTACAATTCTGTTGGATTTTATGCCAAGAGAAAAAAATACACAACCAATAAGAGCTCAGGAAGCGAACCGACGCTTTCGATGCGCAAAATAAATTCGGCTAGTGCAAAACAGGCTTTAGAAACAGTTTTCATTAAATTCATGACATAAGTAAAACACACTGTATAGCCGGACTTTGTCGTACGACGATCCCAACTCCGCTATCTGTGAGCGCCAGAACACGTGACGCCGTCTGCTGATTGTCAGTGGGCAGTCTGAACGGATCGTCATTTAAAACGATCCGTTGCGCGCATCGTGGCGTAGAATTGACGCGGATTTACTGTTAAATCATAGACATGAGACAATAATTATGATATACATAGACTAGGTGAATTTATTAGAATCATCCATAAAGCATAGGTGGGGAATTTATTAAATAAAATATCTACACGTATAGGCCTATCGTTTACATTTACAATAAATATACAGGTAATGAATACACTATAATGAAAATAAATACATCTTTCAGTCCATATTGCTTTTATTTCTATGTCTCATTTTCTGTTGACCGTTATTATAATTAAATTCTTTCGCCGATTTTCTAGAATTAAATATGTATAAAGTTAAAATTTATGCTTTTTTTTATTTGCAAAAACTTTCTTCCCTTGTTTCCATAGTCTCCCATGTTAAGTAGCACACACAACTTATAATTGACATTTTAAGCCCCACTACCTTATGAAATCAATAACGAATACGAATAGGCCTACCTCATTCATCTTCATTATTGTCATTCGTGTCTATAGCATTATTAACAATATTATACGAGCTGAATTTATTTGATTCATTTGAAAAGCCATGATCACCTACATTGTAATAGATGCTCTGTATGGGATCACGGAGGCCATGATGGGATTGACTAAAATATGAATACGTAACCGTATTCGTTATCGTTTTCAGCTTTCTGTAAGGTTGCGAAATCTCCCTATTGATGCTAAACAACAGCGTGAACATAAACATGCCAGTTAGTTTTAGTCATAATAAATATGTTGGTGATTGCTTACGTGCTAGTGTTAGTCCTATTAAATAACATGTTGTGATTGGTCCATTGCTTACGTGCTAGTGTTAGTCCTATTAAATAACATGTTGTAATTGGTCAGTTGCTTAAGTAATAGTGTAAGTCTTATATAAGTAACATATTGTAAGAGCACTTTTTCAAAAGACGTACAGTACACTACCTTAATCATCTAAAATATTTCATCATTTTGCAATTATGAAGTATTTACAAAAATAAAATTATAATTGTTTATTGTACTTAAAATAGAGAAGTCATCTGTTTCCATTAGTTTTTTTAAACCTTTGAAAGACAATTCGAGACGAATCTACATTTCCCACTAATTCGAGACCACTTTTTCAAAGAACCAAATAACAATCACACGAAGCTAACCCTCTAATTGGAGACCGAGCCCGGAAAACGCCCAATATTTTGAGGTCGCAAAGGTGGTCTCGAATTGGAGGGTGAACAGTGTTAAAATACATCTTCCGCTAAACCATTTTTTCCAAACGATATTCCGCATATTGCTGTACACAATGGGTTCATTATCTTTCTTTATGAAATGACTATCAGTATTGGTAGAAAAAATTGGTTAAAAACAATACCCATTAACTTTATATTGTATTTGTCATGAAGACTTTCGTCAATTTTTACTATTTATAATAATATTATATCCATCTATATTCTTATGTCACAATAATTCATTTCATTAGGCATATGATGATACAAATCTCTATAATACAATTAACGCCCTTCTAGTACATGATCAAAGCATGTTTTTCGTACGATATTGGACGGATTTGGACGGAATAAAATGCATAAGGATATTATAACTCTCGGTAAAACATCTATTACCGGTATATGATTTGAACCGAAAATAACAACTAGGCCTATATCTAGATCAAGTGCTGCAAATACATGTAATTTTAAAGGGTACAAATACATCATTCAAGTATATAGACACATTTGTGATACGATATTTGTAAATATGAACTATACTCGGCAATTAAAGAGATACCAACATAATGATAGTCTTAGCTGCATAGCAGCATCATAACGTGGCCAACTCTGTGCAACCATCACCATGAATAAGATCGTTCACTACCAATGTGGTGTTAATATGTTTGATACTATTACCACATCTTCACTGACACGGACAAGCGTACCCCAATTTGATAGAAAATAAGCTTTTTGGGATAACCAACCACCACCACCATTAGGTCAAAGTGAGTTCCTTGCCCTATTATGAAAACCACAGCTATTACATGAAACACCATTATGAAACACATCTTCAGAGCTCCCACCATAAGATGCAACCAGTAATGAGCGCAATGGCTTTAACGCAACTCGTTCTCATAGGGCCGTAGTACCTTGCAAACAAAGATTCACTAAGAAGGTTCAATCTCTTGAGGACGTGAATCGCAACCGCCTCTCATGATTTAAGACACAAAACATTATATTTTACATTTAATGTTTATATTTTGAATATACTCGATATTAAGTGTTTTTATTGTTGGAACTTATATAGGTGCTTTGTGAATAACGCTATATTAGCATTGACTAGATTGAAGGAAACGTTATAACCAAACTAGATTTTACAAATATTTAATCCTGAACATATTAAATTAGATTTTTGGCTAAAATTGTTTGAAAAGTGGCAGATTATTATCTAAGCTACAAAATTTATGTTTCTGTTTTGCTTCTTCTTTAAGTTTGGTTTATCATTTCCACCCATCTTCGTAATCATATCATCAAATTTCTCGGCGTCAAAGTAAACTTTAGCAATTGTGTCTAACAGCTGATCGACTTTATTTGGGAAATCTGAAATCTTTTCCTCAATTTCACTTGTAGGCTGGTTGTCAACATCTTTGTTGTTTTTTTCATGAAGTAAGTCACGGGCCTTGTTCATGCCAATCAAACCTTTAAAATGACGCATGATAAAATCAACCATCTCGTAATCGTTGGTCATTTGATCAATGTCATGCTTTACTTCTGTAAATGACTCGTTCAGAATAGTGAGGAACATATTAATTAGGAGAAATGGCATAAATGCCATGTATAAGAAGAAGAAAATAGGACCAAGGAGACCGCTGGCAGAACTAATACTTTGAAAATTGAAGGCACCAAGCAGCGTACCAATAAGACTTTCCATTGTGTAAACTACATCAGAAAAGTCAAAAAGATTGGCCACAAACAGCTGATAGAAAATTGACACAAATGCAAAAAAGACAACAAAGAACATGATTCCAAAATAAAAAAGATCCTTTGCGCACGCCCTCAATGTGCTTGATAATAACGCCATTCTGCGATTGAATCGCAGCAACTTCAGAAACTTTGTGGTTGCCAGAAAAACGACAGTTCCCAACATGTACATAAAGACCTCGTTCCAGTTGGCAACGTACTGCAATTTGATGTACTCCTTACTGCCCTGTTCCTTGACCTTGTTAACAATTTCTTTAGTGACGTAATGACGATAGAAGTAGAGAACCACTGCAGCCACAGATATTGCGATGATCAAAAATTCAATCCAGTTCCAGAATTTGTGAAAGTACGCTTTTCCCTCTCTTCGAAAGTTGTTGACTTCCTTGAAGATGAAAAATACTAAGAAGCCGATAAAAATTCCTTCGCTGAGTATGACAAACATTGCGAAACCGGTAAACGTTCGTAAAAGATGTATAACGTCAATGCGTTCGTATGGTATAAGAGATCCAGTTGGAAGAAACTCCACGAAAAAGTTGACGACTCCAAACAAGTTAACCTCTGGATTGTAGACTGAAAACTCAACAAAAACTGCACGGGTGTGTTTGTCTATCCAATGCTGACGATGTACTTGGTCTATTCGACTCTGAGCTGTCTTAATATCTTCAGCAAGACTGATAACGTATCCCCCTCCGCTGTAAAGCCCGTGGCGTCCGAGGAACGGATAACTGTCTAGCTTTTCCCAGGTTGTGTACATGAATTCTGGAACTTCGCGTGTTACGTTGTAAGGCGTCCACCCCGCTCCATAATCAGAAGTATCTGAATCCCCGACTGAATATTTATCATTACAATGAAAGATTACGTCTTGGATTAACTCATGGGGCTTACACAAATCTGAGAAGAAATTTATAATCGTTATGATACACTATTTGTATATATATATATATATATCTGTCTCTTATACACATCTAGATGTGTATAAGAGACAGCTTTAATAAAATTTGTAACTTAAATTTAATAATCAATGTTTTATTTGATTTTTAGGGTTGTCTAGATTGTCACGAAAATTCATTTATAATACAATGAACAGACCATACAATTAGACAGTATAGTTAATATACTGCAAGACAAAATACCTTCTTTTATAAAACACAATATTTGGAAAAACTCAATAATTGAATTTATTCAATTGGATTTCAGGTATAAAATCGCATACAACACAAAAAACATAAAAACAAAAATATAACCATTACTACTATATATAGCTTTAAATATGTTCGTTTAATTTCAGGATCATTACAAACAGTAAATAGAAAAATCACGAACATAGTCTATAACAGAAGAGAGTAGAAGATAGACTAGACCTGAATGATATATATATTTTTTGCGATATACTGTACCTTATTAATAAATAATTCTTAAATATTTAATAAGAAGTTTAAAGACATATTGTCCCTTGAAAATAACAAAAAATCCGTTGACATTGTTTTTTATATTTCAATTGGGACAATGCATCGTTAATAAAACTTTAAAATACCTTTTTGTAATTCTTCAAAGGGCCTTGAAAGGTTGACGAAAGAACGTTTTTGACATCATACGACATTGAGTTTGTATTACCATAGCTAACGACCATTAAGATGAGCAGAAAGAAGGAGTAGAAGCAAATTTCACGAAATATTGAGAACATCTTGATTTCTTTGAGACGTTGCTCTCGGGCCATTTGAAGATCCGCTGGGTTTGGTGGCTTATATGCTATCTTTCGACTTTTCGCTTCTATTGAAATTTAAATATTCAGATAATCATGAGATTCTCATAGTGATAACGCTAACACTACCACTACTACTACCTCTAATACTACTACTAATAATACTACTGCTACTTCTACTAGTACTGCTACTACTACTACTGCTGCTACTACCAGCCCAAATGCCATAGGTATTAAACTAAAACCAACGTAATTACTTTACTATTAATGCTTCAAGCTTATTCTTCAACTACAAAAACAACAAGTTTTTAGCACTACGATCTTGATGTAGCGGCGCTATATATTAGAAATAAACTTCATGTATGTAATGTAAGCACTTACCAACAGGGAAATGTAGCCATTCTTCATCAGATTTTAAATAAAATTCTTCTTCATCATCGTCCATATCTTCCTCTTGTTCGGCTCCTGGCGTTTTCATCACACAGGCAATAAAAACAGCTATGAGGACAACCTGGTGATTATCAAGATATGAAATGAAAATTACATATTATTTCTTTATTTCGAAACATGCATCATTTTATCTGTAGTAAAATGTGGAAAACACACTAAAAGTTCATTGAAATACTTAAAATTACTTAAATTTTATGGGACAAGAAAATGTGATTATATCCATATTTGGGTGTAATATGACATCGATTCATCATACCCATATATGGACACATCACATAAATTTATCACATAACATTTAATAGTGTGGACTGAACTTATGCTCTGTCTAGACTATCAATTTTCTTGACAAAAAACGGTTGTATGGCCATATATGGTCATGACGTGCCTATATATGGTCATGATATTATGACTTTATGACCATATTTAGGCATGTTACATGTTTGTGCATAGATCGAAACAAAATCATCAAATGATCAGCTTTGCTAGATAGGCTAAATTCCTTCAATATGATTTTAAATAAATTATATAAACAATGACCACTTGCAACCATTTGTGAGCTATTCATCAGACATATTCGAATGTTGAGTGATGTATGTTGGTGTAATATGTAACCTTTGTAAATATGACCAGTCCATCAAGTTCTAAGCCAATTAGAACGTGTAAACATTATGTCAAAGGTCACAACGGTCACTTGTGTTTCGTTATGTGAATGCATGTGGTAACTTCATTTGTGCAATTCTGTCAATTAAACGAAGTTGAATTGAATATATTGAATTTAGTTGTTAAAACATTGTAGAGATAATATATATAGAGTTAAACGTTATAGAGATAATAAATATAAAGTTAAACACAATTTCTGTAGATAAAAGAAATTGAATTGAAAATACTGAATTTAATAATTACAACATACACATAATAAATGCCTTATTTGTATTAGTAATTTTGCATAATTTAATTGAATAAGGTGTTTATTATTTGGGTTAAAAAACAAAGAAAAGGGATTAATGTGGCTAAATTAGCAGGTTACGGTATATATTATTCATATGATATGTATTGTAGATAATACCTTTATTGGTTGAGTGAAGAGAATTGCCGTAAAGAAGCCGAGGAGCAGTGACGCTAGCCATTCTGAAGTTTCTTCATTTCCGAGTTGGATTCCGTAGAAAACGACAAAGACTGTTGCTGCGGCAGTACTCAGTATTGTCAGGATCCAGGCGATAATTGTACACCACCAGGGAAAACCAAAACGCTCTTTACGCTTTTTCTTAACTGGCGCAGACTCAGTTGTTATGATAACTTGAGAATCGTCTGGGTGCTTCATTTTGTTCGATGTTTCTGACATTTCCTTTTGTTTTTCCCGGAGGTCAACTCCATCTAAATTAGAGAACTTGACTTCAGAAGGCGTTGCCTGAATAAAGAGCAAAACAGAAAGGTTTTAATTATTTTGGTTTAAAACCCAGCAAACATAATAATATGCGTTATTATAGTTTTCGCGAACGTTTTGGTTAGGTATGTCACGAAAAATAGTTGCCTAAAAAGGAACATGATGTTATAATTGTATCAAGAATAGCCCTTCCGTTTAGTTGTACCAGGTTTAAGCTGGAAAAGCTTATAGGTCACGACAGGAAAACATATTAAATAACATTCAAATTATGTATATGAAAAATACGGCATTAGACGACTATTCAACACGACATTGAAAAACAAGCATGTGTGACTCAATGAATACCGTACACGAGGGCTTACCACGGAGTCTCTGTTAAATTTATTCTTCCGGAAAGCCTTTGCCTGCCTGTCCCATGCTTCCATGATTCGAGACTTACGTTTTTTCCTTGGACGTGATTTACGGAAGAAGTTGACAACCAGTAAGCTGACAGGAAACACAATTAAGTTTGATTCGATGCCGATCATAACCTGTAAAAACATTAATTCATTTATTTTATCTTCAAGAGGATCAATACACTTTTTTTTGCAAAGGATCGATATCAATATCGACAATTGGTATCAACAGCGATGTCGTAATGCCAATAGTGTTCTCATAAAACACAGTATCATTAACCGCCACTCTATCCAAAAAGAAGTGCATCATGGTAAGGTAGTCCGGAAACTGAACGGTTATCACACCAAAGACAAAATATCAAACGCAGCAATAGCCAAGATGATACGGAATCTAAACAACCTGAAAGTTTACCATATTCGGGACAGCATTCACATAGTAACGCATTCTACAACAAGTCGATATTAAACTTTGTTTGATGTCCCTTAAACATGAGAAACTTAATTTTTAACGCTTTTTCTTCAACTCTATTTGTGCAGTAAGTATAAACTACTGATGTACATTTAATTATATTCCGTGTGCAAGATATACACAAAATGTATATTTACCGAAGCGGGAGTGATCGTAACAGGTCCAATTTTGACGGGATTCTCAGATCCAGGTGGGGGCATCACTTTGTAGAACATGATACTGACAAGCATTTCCAGCCATAATGCCATTAGACAGCATCCAGCCCTTTGCATGCGAGTGAATCGGCTGCCAGCTGGACGAGAAAGAACCGAGAACCATAGATGCCCATCATTTAGGTTTTTGCGCGTATGGTTGGTAAACACGTGGCTAAACTCCTGCATTTCATCCTTTCCGGCAACAGCAATAAGGCGATCAATCTTATTAGGACAAAAGGGAAATATGCACAAAAAGCAATCGAATGCAATGCTTACATGTAAATAATTACGATGAACTAAAATAATGCCAATCAATGAGTATATAAACTAGCAGTAACTCCATAAAGTGTACACTGCGTCGCTCACATCACGAACTAACACAATCAAAGTAGATTGTGTTAGTTCGTGAAATCAAGATAGCGCGTCAAAATACGCGCTGTTGTTATTAAGGACTTTTTGTGTGGTAAAGAATACAAAATTGCTTGACAATAAATTCGCGCTCGTTTTGACGCGCTACTTTCGCAATGTCCTTGAATACAAACATACGTGTATATTTGGGGAAACTAGAGCATACCTTCAAGAAAATAATGGATATCGTCCATCGTAATTCAGGTATTTTCTTGAGAGGAGATTTCATTATTATACTTTATGTTTGAAGGTAAATAATTAAATTAGCGGAGGTAATAATTAAGTAAGAAATATAAGAATATCGTTTGATATTATTTTTTCAGATTATGAATTATTGTGAGAAAACTACATTACCTGACCATCGTCTTCTACAACTGAGAACCATCGGTTTACGATGAAATAAAAGCGTTTGCGTTGCTGAAGATCTTTGATCACAATGTACTTTAGGTACCATCCTTGCATCTTGCCCTTTCCACCGTTATCGTGCCATATGCGCATGTAGTTTAGTGACCCCAGCGGCCTAAAATATATAAACGACATATTCATGCAGGTAACTCAGTGGCAGATTTCAGGAGGCCCACTCGACCGCCAAATATTTTGTTTTTAAATGAACAGAAATTGAGAAAAAAAAAGAAAATTATATTCAAATTATAAGTGTGAAAGTGCCATTTCCGACCATCAATGGCTGTCTCTTATACACATCTAGATGTGTATAAGAGACAGCGACAAAGACTGTTGCTGCGGCAGTACTCAGTATTGTCAGGATCCAGGCGATAATTGTACACCACCAGGGAAAACCAAAACGCTCTTTACGCTTTTTCTTAACTGGCGCAGACTCAGTTGTTATGATATCCGTCTGTGAAAGTTCTGACCTGGGCTCCTCTTTTTTCGAATTTCTGGATCCGCCACTGTAACTTATGGCACCATCAATGGCATAATATCATGATTACTTTTTTTTAAAAGCTACGTTTACACTAGACACAATAAATACACGGCAACGACATATCATCGCGTCGTTTATCTTTTTTAGCCTGGTTCTTACGAGAGCCCTAGTATCCGGATCGGGAGCTAACCGTTAGCGCTAACCGTTAGCACCTGCGTGACAACGCCCGATCGGTTAGCGCTAACCGTTACTGGTATCCGGATACGCTAACGGTTTGCAAGCGCTATCGGTTAGCAAGTTGAGGGCGTTTCTATCATCAACTAATACACGTACGTGTTTACAATTTCCAGTTTCTTATTGGCCAGTGATTCGATCATCATATTGTTGGTATCCGGATCGGGATTTTCTCACATGGATCCGGATCCTGCTAACCGCGTGAGAACATAGCCTTTACCACTGAGCACATTTTTATCGTGTCGTTTTTGTATCGTTATTGTATCTAGTGCAAATGTAGCTTTATCTATAAGTTTATATTAATTTTGTTTTTGTTTTCCTTTTATAGGTTCAGTTATTATCCAGTAAATATAACAAAATCCCTTACCGACTGACGGACATCAAAAACCTGTCCACACCCCCTCGTCGTAGAATTTTGCGTTGATCATCCTCGAAAACGCGTACATCGGTTTCATCATCTTCTCCAGATAAAATAAAACTCACCTGTAAAAAAAAAGGTAGAATGAAAGAATGTTCTCATTTCGGTATTTACCAAGGTTTCAATTACAAAAGCAAAATGTATGAATTAACCAAATAAGGAATCAGTATAATTGGTACATATTAGCACGCAATATTCAAAGGACGGTTCATTATGTTACTGAAGCTATAACACTTTATACCTTTGAGTCTGTTCCGGCAGCCTTTCTTTGACCCGTCAATACTGTTATTTCATAAAAATACTTATCAGCAGGCGAATTGTCAGGTAAAGGAGTCACACCAAGCTTAAAAGATAAATATTATTTATAAATTAGTCATATATATATATATAAATATATATATATATACATATATATGTATGTATGTGTGTAATATATTAATGAAATAGATAATAATACAGTGCTCAAATATATAGGAACATGATGTTATAAATCGTATCAAACATACGGTAGTTCATCAGTGTAATTTACTTATTATAGTTGTATGAAAAAGCTGAGGTCTCTGGTGGGAATCGGACGGGCAATCTCGCTATCTCGGCGAGCGTCATACCGTTTAGACCACAGAGGTCCGCACGATATCATTACGGATCTAAAATCACTATAGTCTCCCTCCATTCATGATACGACTTGATGGCTCACTCAACACACATAAGTGCAGCGAATTCGTAATGAATATTACCCAGAACATAATGAAAATACAGAAACACTGAATTCAAAATGTGAGCAGATACAAAAGAAATAAAGAAAAAATCAAGATAATGAACATAAAATGCAAACAACGCAGAAAAAAGATTAACTAAAAAGAATTCTCGCTCTCCGGCCTTTGAGACAATCCTAAAAACCAGCCTAACTTAGTTTATATGTTTTCTATTTTTAATATTATATTCTTTGTTTTATTTGCTTCAGTTCTTATTATGCATAAAGCTACCACACAATCCATCCATTATTATTAACAATACCTATAATACTATATTTAAAACTCTTGTGGGCTGGTAAATCTGCACGAGCTCAGAGGTAACTGGCTTCAGATTGTGCTTTGTATGCCAGGACCAACATATTGTATCCGTTACTGCACTGCAACAACAACAATAATAAAAACAACAATATATCTCACTATGATTCTAAATTCCTTATAGCCATAACTAATAACATTCTTACCTTAAGTATATCTTTTTTATCTTTCCTTCTTGCCCAAATAAATATGAGAATGAAGATAGTGTAGATAGCAATCGTAGTGCAATAGATTGTGATGTTATCCAAAAAGCCTGCATTTGCAAAGATGTAGTCGAAATCCAGAGGAGCTGGAGGGACAAACCATGAGCTCGCAAATGAGGTCAGATGGTTACAAAAGCACTGTGTGGTTGACAAATTCGTTTTAGGTCCAATCTAGAGGAAAATATATACAATGACAAGAACGATGAAAAGGCACTATCGACCGATATAGAGGTCTATACTGAAGAAACTTTAAAAAAAATAAAGTAAGTAAAAATATTATTTAAAAAAAATTAAAGTAAGAATAATAAACAATAACTAAGCTTATGGGTTTATAAGCACAGATAAGAAATATAGCAAAATCTTGTTTTGATGAAATTAGCCCTAAAAATTGAAGGAGAGGAAGAAGGACTGTTTGAATTAAGATTAAACGGAGTGTGGTTTGAGGGCAGGGGGTTTTTTTTAGCAGCGGGGTGTTGCCAAAAATCTAAAAAAAGTGACAAATGTTTACCCTGCATCCTTCAGATGACCAAATGCCTTGAGATAAATCCCAATATCTGCAGCCTGATGTAGAAATTACCAACGAGTAGTTGAACGTTACATTGTTCAGTTGCACATAAATGTTGCTAACATTATAGATCTCAATATTATCATCAACACTCGGATCAGTTTCAGGAATTTCGGAATCTTGGGGCGAAGGGGTCACCTCAGCTAGGCAGAGGTAATAGTAACCAGTATTGTAGTCAATGTACGAGTCCGGTAGAGTCACAGAGTAAACGCCATCTGTGTTACTGTCAGTAAAACCTACGGATGTGAGAATATAGAAGTTTAATTATATGAGTCTTGTTAAGTCACCTTTGTTTCTTTCAATAATTATACTTATATTACTGTATAATAATACTTTATTATTATTATTATTAATAACAATAATAATAATAATAATAATAATAATAATAATAATAATAATAATAATAATAATAATAATAATAATAATAATAATAATAATAATAATAATAATAATAATAATAATAATAATAATAATAATA